AAATATTTAAAATACAATATGTATTATTTTATTAATCTATTTATAAAAACATAAGATATTGTGATTAAAAAAAATTATTATTTAATTAATTTAAATTAAAAGTACAATATATAAAACAAAAGAAAAAAGTAATGTTATTAAAAAAAAAACAAAAAAAAAAAAAAGAAGACAAACAAAACAAAACAAAACAAAATAATTTTTTTTTTTAAAAATTATATGCACTTCTTTAATATTAATTAAAAACAATATTACTAAAATGGATAACACCAAAAACAAAATTTTTATATTTATAAAATAGTGATTCGTTATTGTTTTTCAAATAATACTTTTTATTTTTGAAACAAGATAATGATATTATTTTTTTTTTACCATAATAATCACAACTACAACCAACTAACTAGGGTGTCTAATGAATGTGTGTGAGTGTGTGTTTACATGTGTTAATGATCGTATTATTATGGAGTGGGTAATTTTAGAGTTTATTTGAAAAAAAATAAAAAATAAAATAAAAAAAAAATAAAAATGGGGCTAGAGATAAATAAAAACATGAAAAAAAATTTAAAAAATAAAAAATAAAAAGAGGGATATAAATAAACATACGCACATTAAATATAAATAATTTAAACAAAAAAATAAAAGACAAATATGTAAATTATTATTATTCCTTTTTTTTCAAAAAAAAAATTTTGGTTGAAAATTTTCAGCCACTTACACTAAAACTAAAATTTAGATTTTTTTTTTTTTTGGTTATTTTAAATATATTTTTTAATTATAATAATGTAACTGTTATCTTGATTTTCGCAATTTGTTGTTATATTAAAAATTATTATTATTATGTCTAACTGATAATAGTGATGGTTTTCAAATTTCTTTTTTACTTTTTAGTAATTCGAAAAAAAAAAAAAAAAAAGAAAAACCATATAATTATTATTACTATTGGGTTGTTGTTGCTGTTTATTGATTATGATTATGATTATTACAAATTATTATTATGTTATTCTTTTGATAATATTTCTAAGCCAATATAATATAAAATAAAAATAAAATAAAATTTTTTTTTTAATTTTTTTTTGAATTATTTTTTTTATTTTTTTTTTCTTTTTCGTTTTATTATAGTTTATAATAAAAAAAATAAAAAAAAGTAAAAAAAAAAAAATAAAAAAAAATAAAAAAAAATAAAAAAAAATAAAAAAAAAAATAAAATTTTTTTTCATTATGATAATAATCTTTTTACTAACGATTAAACTTATCAATTTAGTTCATTTTATTTGAAATTATTTTAAAATAATAATACTTTTCTTTTTTTTCTTTTTTTTTCAATTAAAATAAAGTTTAAAATAATTTTATTTTATTTTATTTTTTATAACGTAAAACCTGTTTTGGGACACCATTGATCAAATATTTTTCATCATTTTTTAATACATAATTAGTTTGAAAATTACCTAAATTAATATCTTTTATTTCGAAATGCAACTTCATTGTATCAATGATAAATACATATCACATATATATTTTAATATTAAATATTTATTTATATATTTATAAAACATATCAGATTTATTTCAATATAAAACTTTTCAAACTATTAACACACACACATACACACACTTTTAAAAAAACAAATTAATTATAGCACACAAATAAATTAAATTTTATTTTTAAAATTTTTTTTTAAAATTTTTTTTCAAAATTTTTTTTAATTTTTTTTTATTTACCAAAAATCAAAATTTTTTATCATCACACATATTAATATTTTTTTCATTACCATATATAATTACAACAACAATAACACATTAATTAAAAAAAAAAATTATTAATAAAAGTAATATAATATTTAAATATATATATAATATTTTTTAAAAAATATATTAAAAATAAAAACAACAATAATAATAAAATAATAATTCATTGTATAAAATTTTTTATAATATTGATAATTTAAATTAAATATAAAATATTATAACATTAACTTTTTTAAAAAAACAAACAAAAACAAAACAAAATAAAAAAAAAAAAAAAAAAAACAAAATTTATTTTTTTATATAATATAATATTTATTTTTTTTATGTAAATTTAGTCAATTATAATTCATAATATAATATAATATAATAATAATATATACATAATGATTTCATCCTCATTATCCTCATCCTCTTCATCCCCATCTTTATTTATTGATATTTGCAGATCATATTCAAAGAATGGGGTTTGTTTGGTAGATGGTTGCATGTATAGTCACCCACCAAATGTTTATAATCAATCATCACAACCACAGCAACAGCAACAGCAACAGCAATTACAGCCACAACATCACTATATGCATACAATAGTCAAAAAAGAGACTGTAATGACACCAGTTTCATCTTGGGAGGAAGCTGGTAATTATCATCATGTCTCAACACCAGAGTATGTATTATTGATATTTTACTATTTTTATAATTATAATTGTTAACCCTTCTTCATTTTATTACATAGAACTTATTTTAAAAATTCATCTATACCACCACCACCCCAATCATTTGTCCATCATCACTTTCAACCTCAAAACCCACCACATTTAATTTCACCACCATTTATTGTTTCATACCCTCCACAAATATTAGCTCAACAAATGCACCATTCACCACCAACTTCACCAAATCATAATAACACTAATAATATAATTGTAAATCATCAAAATATACCAAACACAAATAGCGGTTTTAAACAGCAATCACAATCACAAGTACAACCACAATCACAATCACAATCGCAACAACAAACAAACACACAACCATTACCACCAAATAGTAATAAAAAAATTTGTAAATTTTTAAATCGTTGTAAATATGGAGAGGAGTGCGCTTTTTATCACCCAAAGCCTGGTGATGCTTTTTATTCTACAAATAATTTAATGAACCCAGATTTAATGTCAGCGATACAACATTCTTATCAACCAAATTCACCACTACCACAACAAACAAATATTTATCAATCTCCTTTACCACCATATTTCTATGGCAGTAATAGACATCCTACTGCACACTCACACCAAAACTCTGATTATCATTTAATGCAACCACCAGCTTCTCCACCATATACCCACCAACCAATTCATCATTACTCACCACCCTCTCATCACCACAACCAACCAACCCATCATAATGGTAATAATAATCACAACAACTCTCACCACAATCAACCAACCCATAATCATACAGAGACATCTGCTGCTAAAAATCCAAATTATATTTCAATTACACCTGAGGCATTAATTCATTCATTATCATTTTCTTCATCAACATCATCCTTATCAGATCAGCTTTCTATTCATTCTTCAGAAGAAAATAAATTAGGATCATCTGTTTCTTCGCCACTTCCATCACCTTCATCCACATTATCAACACCTTCACCACCAAATACACCTGTATCGTTATCCACTGATCCAACAATTATTTATACAAGGACTGAAATTGAAACTAAAAACGTGGTTAAAGAAATTTTAGTAGAAGGTAATGAAAAATCTTTAACAAATATTGAAATTGAAAATAAAACAGTTATTGGTGAAAAACCATTTGAAAAGAAAAAATATACTCGTAATAATAAAGAATATAATAATAATAATAAAGAATATAATAATAATAATAATAATAATAATAATAATAATAATAATAATAATAATAATAATAATAATAATAATAATAATGGTAATGGTAATGGTAATGGTAATGTTAATGTTAACAATAATACTAATGGCAGTGGTAATCAATCAACTCCAGATAGAAGACGTAAAATAGTTAATAATAGTAGTAATAATAATAATAATAATACTACAACCACAGTTACTACTACCAACAATGATATTACAAATTTAAATACCAACAACACATATAATAAAAAACCATTTGAAAAGAAAGTTTCAGGTGAAAAAAGAGATAATAATACTAGAAAACCAAAATCAAACGATAATTCAACCACAATCCCAAATGCAACGATTGTACCAATTTCAACTTCACCACCAGTAGCACCAGCACCTTCCCCATTACCAGCAACTATTCCAAGCACAGCTACAATTCCAACTGGTATTGCCAATACAACCGCAGCCACATCTCCAAGTAAATCATCATCAACCCATAGAATAGACAGATCAGGAGAATATAAGGGTAAAAAAAAACCAACAACACCAACTCAGCGTCCAAATAATACATCCACCAATTCACCATCAACACCTATCAAACAAACTCCATCCCAACCTCGTCAATCACCAAATACCAAAAAAAATTAAAATAAATAAAATAATAAAAATAGATGAAAATATATATATTAAATATATATGAAAAAAGAAAAAAAAAAGAAAATTTATTTATTTATATATTTATATTTTTTTTAAAATAAAAATACATGGAAACTAACTGTTCATTTGTTAAGTTAACAGTAATTTCATTTATTGGCAAATACTGAAATTCAAATATATCTAAATATATTTTTTTTCAAATTAAAAAAATAAAAATAAAAATAAAAAAAAATAAAATCAATTATTTTTTTTTTTAAAATATTTTCGCACCAATAGTTCATACAAAAGATAAATTTTTTTTATTTTTCATATTATTGTATTTACAAAGTGTGTGTTGTGTGTGTGTGTGTTTTTATTATATTTACTATTATTTAATTTAAATAAATAAAAATAAACAAATAATAATTAAAATAAATAGATAAATAATTATTAGCATTATAATTTAATTTTTATAGTTAAATTTATTTTTTATTTTTTTAAAATCACCTTATATCTTTTGTTATTTAATATTTTTTATAATATAAAATAAAAATAATTTAATATTTTTTTAATAGTATAAAAATAAAAATAATAAAAACAAAAGTAACAATAACAGTAATAAAATGAATTTTACCAAATCTCAGGATATTGTATCAGAGATTGAAAGAATTAATGGTATTTTAACCGATAATTTTATAAAGCATCAAGATGAAATTAAAAAATTACACAAAGATATTGACGATTTAACAAAACAAAAGAATGAAATTCAACAAAAGTATCAAGCATTATTAAACGGAAATACTAATGGAGATCAAGAAGAATCTTTAAAAAACAATAATTTAGTCAATAACTCGAGTGATAATAAACAACAAATCATCAATGAAATCGAAAAAGAGTATTCATTGATTATAAAGAATCAAGAGTTAGAAAATAAAGTTAAAGATTTAGAAAATGAAATAACAACTTTAACAAATCAAATTAAAAAGTTAGAGGAAGAACACAAAAAACACCATGAACAGCAATCACACCAATCGCAACAACATGATAGTAAACAAGAAAATAGTATCGAGAATGAAAAATTAATTAAAGAAATCGAGGACCAAAAATTTGAAATTAAACAATTACAAAATTTAATCAACGAACAAAAGCAATCTATTAAATTACTTCAGGTATATGAGTTTAAAGAGGGTAAATTGGTCGAGGAAAGAGACTCCCTCCAAGCCAAATTAGATAAACAAATTAGCAACTCAACTCAATTACAAGAGCAACTATTAGAAAAAGATCGTTTGGTTGAAGAGTTAAAACAAAAAGCTGAATTAGGTAGTTCTGGAAATTTTGAAAACATGGTATCAAACGAGAACCACCAAAAACTCATTAAAGATTTCCAACAGCTTCAAATGAAGGTCGATCTCCAAAACGAATTAATTCCAAAGCTCGAAACCACCCTTGAATCCGAAAAGCAAGCTTTAATTCATCTCACATTTGAACACAATCAAACATTAGAGAAATTGCGTTGTAAAGAAGATCAATTAGAATCAAATAGTTCGAGAATTAAAGAACTAGAGTCAGTTTTAGAAAAAGAAAAAAAGGATTGTGTTGAACAATATACCACTGAACATGGACATTTTAATGAGGTTAAAGAAAAAGCCGATCATTTAGAAGAGGAAAATAAAAATCTTTTAGAAAAAATTGAAGAGTTAAATCAAGAAAAGAATAAAATTGAACAAGATCTCAAAAACATTCAAACAAATAATCAAAACTCAAATGAATTTTTAGTTGAAAAGTTAAAATCAAACCAACATGAAAATGAAAAATTATTAATCGAAATTCAACAATTAAAAGATCAACAACAACAGCAACAATCTGAAGATACTAAACAAGTAGAGACCACCAAGGAAACATCATCAAATGAAGAATTAAATAATATCAAAAATGAAAATGAAAAGTTGTTAAATGAAATTAAGGAGCTCAATGAATCTAAAGAAATACTAGAAAAAGAAATAAAGGAAAAAAATGAAATTATAGAAAAAGAAAAAGATGAAACATCATCCGTATTTGAAAATGATAAGTTAAAATTTGAACAAGAAATTAATGATTTAAAAAAGCAACTATTAGACAAAGATACTCAACAATCAAATGAAAAAGAAGGTTTAATCGACGAAATTCAATCATTAAAACAATTGCAAGATAATGTTGAAAAAGAAAAAGATGAGTTAAAGAGTGCTTTAAATACCGAAACTCAACAATTAAAAGAACAGATTCAAGAATTACAAGAAAGTATCAAAAAAGAATCAACTGAAAAGCAAGTTTTTGAAAAAGAAAAAGAGCAATTGCAACAAGAAATTGTACTTTTAGAGAAAGCTATTGAAAATGAAAAAACTGAATTAAAAGAAGTCTTTGAAAAAGATACTCAAATTTTAAAAGATCAAATTAAGAATTTAGAGATCACCATCAACAAAGAACAGTTAAAAGAAAAAGAGCAACATGATCAAGAAAAGCAAGAACTAACACTAAAAATCGAGCAATTGGAAAAAGAGATTCAGGACGAGAAATTAAAATCATCATCAAATGAAAAACTAAATCAACTTGAAAGTGAATTGAAAGAAAAGGATCAACAATTAAAAGAAAAGGATGAACAATTAAAGGAAAAAGAAAAGCAGCTTGAGGATTTAAATAAACAGGATGATGCTATTAAAAAAGAAGAGGAGTTGAAGCAACAATTAGAAAAAGCAAAAGAGGATTCTCAACATTTAGAAAAAGCAAATAAAGAACTCAATGAGCAATTTGAAAAATTAAAACAAGATAGGGATCAAGAAAATATTCAATTGTTAGAGAAAATTAAACAACTAGAGGAGTCACTAGAAGCTGAAAAACAACATAATACTAATAATAATGAAAATGGTTCAATTGAAAAAGATGGCTTTAAAAAACAAATCGAACAACTTTCAACTGAAAAAAATCAAATTCAAGATAAATTAATTGATTTAGAATCAGATCAACAAGAAAAAGATGTAATTATTCAAGAGTTAAAAACCAAATTAGATGATCAAGTTAAAAGCAGAATCGATATGCAGGCTTCATTTCAACAAGAAAGAGACTCTAATAGAAATCTTTTAGATAGACTTCAAGAAAAAGATGCAGAACTAGAGGCTCTTCACCATTCAGCTGCCAAAATTAAAAACCTCGAACATCTCAGTCGTGCACAACAAGATAAAATTAATCAATTGGAAAATCACATAAAAGAAATTTACCAAAGTGACAGCGAGCCAACCAATAATACTTCAACCACCAGTACAACCACAACAACCACAACAAATGGTATAAGATTTGTAGATTCAAACGAAGATCAAACTTTTATTGCCCAATCTATGGATGATGATCATAACACCAATAGAACTAATATACGTCATAGTACTGATGGTGTTAGAAGAGTCCATGATGAAGAGCACTCAAATGATGCATCAACTACCGATATTTCCTCATCATCGACCTCATTACCAATTATACAACCTGCTTCTAAAAATGTGGCTGATATCGTCGAGGCTCTAATTGAATCTGGTACACCACCAATCTCATCAGCAATTCCAAATTTTAATGTAGAACCATTGGTAGATTTAGATATTAATAGCGAAAATAAAGAAAATAAAGATAGCGAAAATGAAGAAGAAATGTTTTAAATAAATAAATAAATATATAAATAAATAAATAAATACATATAAATACAGATTTAAAATAGCAATAATGAAAATAATAAAAAAAAAAATTTAATTACAAAAAAATTTAATTACAAAAAAATATAATAATCAAAGATATCTTAATTTTAGATAAATCAAAAAACTTTTCTAAAAAATTCTTTTTTAAGATTAAAATTCTTTAACTATAAAAAATATATTTTATTTTATTTTTTTTTTATTTATTTTATTTTATTTTATTTTATTTTTTAATTTTTTTTTTTTTTTTTTATTTTTTATAATTTTTTTTTTTTTTTTCGAATTATTTTTTTTACTGTTGCTTACTATTTTTGTTTGATATATACACACTGTGCACATTTTTTTGTTTCCCCCACCCATCTTAAATTATTTTTAAATTATTTTTTTTAATTATTTTTTTTTATCATATATAATATAAAAAAAAAAAAAATAAAACACTAAACATTTTAACACAATATTTTAAAACAACACACTAAAAATAAAACAATAATAATAAATTAATAATTTTCAATAAAAAACATATTACAAAATAGATAACATAAAGAAAATAATAATAGATAGAAGAGAATAAACATAAAAAATGGGAGAGGATACAATAGCACTTCCTGGTCAAGATTATGACAGTATTCCATTCGAAATCTTAAATAAAAATACAAATATAAAGACATTAGACTTAAGTTTTAATAATATAAAGTAAATTTTAAAAGAAAAATGTAAACTTTAAAAAAAAAAAGATACTAATATAAATTTTAAAAAATTAGGAAAGTAGAGTCGTTGGATAATTTTAAACAATTGGTTTCATTGGTTTTAGATAATAATCAAATTGAATCAAATAACGATTTTTCAAATTTACCAAATTTAAAAACATTGTCATTAAATAACAATAATGTAAGAAGATGATGATATCAAATATAACGGTTTTTTTTATTATGTATGTGTTATATTAATATTTTTTTCTTTTATTTTTTAGATTTCAGATTTAAGAGAATTTATAGAATCAATTAAAAATAAATTCCCAAATTTAACATTTTTAAGTTTATTAAAGAATCCAGCATGTCCAAATTATTATTTTACTGGTGCAGATTTTAATGATTACCAAAAATATAGATATTACATTCTATACCATTTAAAACATTTAAAATTTTTAGACTCAACACCAGTAACAGCAGAAGAAAGAAAAGAAGCTGAAAGAACAGGTGTATATTCATTACCAGCAAAACCAGTATCACAAAATGTAGTCACCGAAGAAGTTGATGAAGATGAACCAACTTATAGATCACTTTCAAGTGATTTAGCTCCAGAGGGTAAAGGTAAAGCTTCTTTTGGTGTTTCAACTTATGTTTACTATGGTAGACAATCAGAAGGAAATAGATTCATTATGAATGATGATTTATAAATTATTTATTATAAAAATTTTATATAAATAAACTTGATAAATATCAAATAAATAATAATAATAATAATAATAATAATAGTAATAATAATAATAATAATAATAATAATAATAATAATAATAATAACAATAATAATAATAATTAATAATAGCAATATAATAAACAATAGTAATAATAATAGAAATAATAGAATAATTATAATAGTATAGATAATAGTAATATAAAGCAATGCCATCTTTAGAATCAAAGAAATAATATCCGAATTTCTTCAAATTTTTATTGGGTAAAACAACACTGATTTTAATTTTATTTGTTGCCTATTTAAAAAGGATATTGGAATATTATCATTTTTAAATAATAATAACAAATAAAAAAATAAAAAAATAAAAAAATAAAAAACTTATTTGTTTTTTTATATATAAACCATTTAATTTTTTTTTATATATTTTTAGTTAACTAGTTTTGATTTATTTGTATATATTTATTATTTATTTATAATTCAAGTAATTTCAACATTACTTTAATTTAATAAAAAAAGTTACTAGATGATTGCAGTGTTGAACCAATGTGACGATATGTTTACATTTACCATAAGTTTTTGAGCCACTTGGACAATTCTTTACATAAAACCAAATAAAACTTCAAGAAATAACTCAATTTTTTTTTTTAAATTATCCTTTTTTATCCAAACCATTTCTTTGGGGATTATGGGGATTAAATATTTTGTTAAGCATTAACACTATTTCTCGGTGAAACATTTTCATAGCTTAATGTTTCAACTGCAAAATGTAATCTAATTGGGAAATTTTTAATATTAAGTTTATTATTGAAAAGTTGATACAGCTATAACATATAAGCTGAAGACATTGTTAGAATTCTGTTTTTGGCGTAAAACTGTTGAGATTATTTATTTCCGAATACCATTCTACTATAACCACTTTTGCCGTCTTTATTTTTAATGGATTTCAACCCATCAAGTAGTCCTTTTTTAACTTTTATTGATATCCAATCTTTGAAGTTTTTTAGTAGATAGTTTTAAGCTATCGTTTTGGTTAATATTTGATGTTTCCAACTGTGCTCGAAAAATTATTCATTTTCAATTTTTTTTCCCAGGTATTTTTTAATTTATTGAAATTTTTTTGGATTATAGGTAGGGAGGATATTTAGTCCCATAATTCAATATTTTTTATTTTTTTTGAGATAATTAATTTAGAAATTGAAAACATTTTTTCAAGAATTCCTTACAGCAATGAAATGATGATCTGGAGAGGCCCACTCATTAGAGAACCATGGGTCTTTCCGGGAAAAATTGGATTCTGTCAAAAATATGTATTTATTTATTTTTTTTTAAAAAAATATGTAATGTGGATGGAACTACTTTAGTTATAGATGTAAGGTATTTTACTGATTAATTTAAAGCATTTGCTTTTAATTATCTTCACTTTTAAAAAAAAAAAAAAAAAAAAAAAAAAAAGATGTAAGGTACTAAGATCAAATAATTAAATAAAATAAAATTTATATGAAATGAAAGCTAAAAAGTTTTTATTATTTTTTATTTTTTTATTTTTTTGGTAATCTATTTTTTTAAAAATTCTTTTTTGATAAATTAAAATAATTGTTGATTATTATTAATTAATGTTGATTATTATTGAGTAATGATCCTTGTTCATTACATAGACACATTAAATATCCCCCACTTTGACTAAAGACCCAATGTCAGTTTCACATAAATGCACTTCTTATTTGTATAGTTCTAGCCGATGCTTGGCTCCTTACGAACCATTTGAAACATAAGGTGCCTCTGCAATTACCTATAGAGCTGCCATCATTATCCTGATTGGCATACATCTCAGTATTTTCATTTGATCTGTTATAACTGATTTCTATGTCACTTTTTTTTTTTAAAAAAGTGAAGATAATTAAAAGCAAATGCATTTAAATTAATCAGTAAATTTTATTTAATGTTTATAGTATAGCTTTTTAGAGGAAATATTCTAAACTATTGATATTTGGTGATGAATTGATATTGATGCAGTATTTTTTTGCTATTTTTTTTAAATATTCTGTATTCTTCATTGATGTTGGTGATTGTTTGTGGTTGTTTGGTTTGTTTATCCTTGATTTCTTTTAAACTTAAAAATCATATAATTTATTATCTTTATTTTTATTGTTTATTAATTATTTATTTATACTTTAAAAGTTCATTTACGTTATGTAATGTATTATCATCAAAATTCAATTAATTAATTAATTATAACTTAAATAGTCATTTAATCAAACAATTATAATAATTAATAATTTTAATAATTAAAAATAATTTAATTTAAAAAATAAAAAAATAAAGAAATAAAAAAAATAAAATAAAAAATTTTCGAATTTTTCGTTTTATTCAATTTTCTTATAAACTTAAAAATCATATAATTTATTATCCTTATTTTTATTGTTTATTAATTATTTATTTATACTTTAAAGTTCATTTACATTACAGTTACACTAGGTTTTGAAACCGGAGCGGAAAAGGGAAATGATAGGAAATTAATCACCCGGAAGATAAATGTTAAAACAAAAATTCCGGCTTGCCAGACTCGAACTAGCAACCGATTGATAACAGATAATAACTACAGTCAATCGCGCTACCATTGCGCCAAAGCCGGATATACAAAATGAATGTTTTGAATAGGTCCCTGGATCTTTAAGGTGATAATACATGTTAAAGCTTTAGCCACAATGACAGTCAACAGGCTAGAGAAGTTTAGCAAGATATGGAATTCAGATATATTTTAGAGTGAAAATACCAATACACCTGGAAAGCTCCAGAACTCTATCGATGAATTACAAATAAAAATTAAATAACAAAAATTACCAAAAAAAATTAATCAACAAAAATTAAATAACAAAAATTAAATAATCAAAATTAAATTACTAAAAATTCTTTTAAAAATAAATTAATAAATGTCATGTTAACCTTTGCATTGAAGGGGTAAGTCAAAAATTCGTGGTTAGCAATTAATACAAAAATCTTTAAGGTGATTATTATAAATTAATAATCACATAAATATTATGTCACAGTCATCCCTATATATTCATATTAAATTCATTTTTAAATATATTATTTAAATATTATTAAAGTTTAACTTATATTAATAAAGATTAGATAAGGAATAGTTTAGTACTTTTTAGATATCTTAATTTATTCAATTAATTTTGTATTAATTAGTTAGTGAGTGTTAATATATTTTATTGCGTCTCAGTAAGAATATAGTTTGTGTTCAGTATATTTTCGTTATGCATTTTAGTTGTGTAACTTAGTCATTTTCATACCTTATCATTACATAAAAATTATAAAGTGCACTATCCACGTACACTTGGAAGGCTACAGAAGATCATCGATGAATTACAAATAACATTAAAATTATATAACAAAAATTAAATAACAAAAATTAAAAAACCAAAATCAAAATTAAATAAACTAAAAAAACTTAAAAGTAAAATAATAAAAGTCATGTTAACCTTTGCTCGATTCTAATTGAAAGTCAAAAATTTATTATTGTTAAAAATTAAAAAAATTGAAGCAAAAATAAATTTATAAAATATTTTAGATTGTAAATTAAAATATAAAGGGTGCCTATCCAACAACAATTTCAAATCCAATAAATAAAATTATTTTTTAATTTAAAATATTTTTATTTTTATTAAAATATAAATATAAGTATTTATTTATTGATACTTTAGATAACTACATCTTTAATGAATGAAAATTTTAATTTTAAAATAAGAATATAAATTAAATGTATTTTTTTAATTTAATAATTAAAAAAAATTAATTTTAAAATTTTAAATTATAAAAAAAAAAATTTATAAATTTTCTATTTCTGTAGAAAATAAAATTATTTGTTAAAATTTTTGAAAATATTAGAAAATTTAGATCAAGATAATTTCTAATAATAATTAAATTATTTTTCTTTTTTATTTTTTCTTTTTTTCTTTTTTTGTTATTTATTTTATTTATTTTTCATTTTTTATTTTTTTTATTTTTTTATTTTTTTATTTTTTATTTTTTATTTTATTTTTTTTTATTTTATTTTATTTTGTTTTTTTTTTAAATTATTATTTCTTTTTAATAAATTTTGTCGAATTTTTTATTATTATTTATAATAAAAAATTCGACAAAAATTTTTTTTATGATGTTTTTTGAAGAGTTTAAAAATTTTGTAGCCATCAATTGTTTTTATTATTTTTTCAGATGTTAACATATGAAAAAAAAAAACAAAAAAAAAAAAAAATTTTGGGTTAAATTGCAACCCCATACAAAAAAATTTTAAACACCATCCAAAACCCCACACAAAAAATTTTAAAAATAGAAGCTTGAAAAAAAAACAAGGTTATATTAGGGCTATCTTATCATATCAAAAATGTTTGATGATGCTTAATGTTGTTTTTTTTTTTTTGGAATAAAAAATTAAATTAAAAAAAAATTAAAAAAAATTAAAATTATATTAAAAAAAAATTAAAAAATTAAAATAATAACACCATGTCATGACGATCTGTAAAGAATATTTTTTTTTAAATAAATTTATTAAAAAATAAAATAAAAATTAAATACAATATAAATAATATTAAATAGAATATGTACATTTGCCTCTATTTGGATTAAACCCTGATTAAAAACGTTTTTTTTTTTTTTTTTTTTTTGAAAACTTCCAAAAATAATAATAAGAGATAAAAGAATTTGATGTTTCTCTATGTTGTTATCTATCGCAAAATAAAAATTATAATATTATAATTATTTAATTTTTTTTTTTTTTATTTTTTTTTTTTTTTATTTAAATCTATAAATTTATTAATTTTTTTTTATTCACTTATTTTATTTTATTTTATTTTTTTTATAATAATAATAAAACAATAAAGTATTATTTAATAGTAATATTAATAATCAAGTAATAATAAATAATTATCAATAAAGAATTGTGTTTAATTTTTGTATAAAATAATAGAAATTATTATTTTTAATTTTTTTTAATATACAATATAAATTAATTTTTTTTAGTAAATATATATAATTATATAAATTTTTTTTTTTTTTACAAATAACTTAATTATTTTTAAATAAATTATTTAGATTTAAAAAAAAAAAAAAAAAAAAAAAAAAAAACTAAAATAACTTTTTTTTATAGTAACAATATAAATTAAATTACAGTTTAAATATTTCAAATTTTTCCATTAATTTTTTTTTTTCCATAACCAAAAGAAAAAAAAATAACAATGGATGAATATGAATTAAAAGAAGTTGCTTTATCAGAGGGTGGTAATAATTTAAATATTAATACACCACCTAATGATTCAAGCAGCTCATCATCATCCCCACCCGGCTCGCCAAATATAGAACAAAGTGAATTTAGATTTAGACAAGTAGCTGACGAATTAGAAAATGATTCAAAAAAATATTTTACAAGTCAAGATGCTGAGGCCAATATAGGTAAAGAAGAATCAGAAGAAGATTTTAAATTAAGAAACTATTTCGAAAATTCTCAGCGTATGGCTTTAGAAAATGGCGGTAAACCAAAGAAAATGGGTATATCAGTTCGTAATTTAACCGTTGTTGGTCGTGGTGCTGATGTCTCTGTTATTTCTGATATGTCATCCCCATTTGTATGGTTTATAGACTTATTTAACCCTAAAAAATGGTAATGATCATAATTTTTTATTTTTTATTTTTTTTAATTTAATTTTTTTTTATAAAAATTTAAATTATTTAATTTTTTATATTAATTTTTTTTTCTCATTTTATTTTTTATATTTTACAGGTCAAAGGAATCAACATTAGGCTCTACATTTGATATTTTACATGATGTCACCACTTTTTGTAAAGATGGTCAAATGCTTTTAGTATTGGGTAGACCTGGCGCCGGTTGTTCGTAATGTATCCATGCATAAATTAATTAAATTAATTTTTAAAATATTAATTTTTTTTTTTCTTTAATAGTACATTTTTACGTTTGGTTTCAAATCAAAGAGGGTCCTATGTCGATATTAAAGGTGATATTACATACGGAGGTATTCAATCTAAAGAATGGAAGCGTTATAAAGGTGAAGCAATTTATACACCAGAAGAAGATACCCATCATCCAACACTCACTGTTCGTGAAACTTTAGATTTTGCATTAAAATGTAAAACTGTTCATAATCGTTTACCAGATGAAAAAAAGAGAACTTTCCGTCAAAGAATTTTCGATTTATTATTAAATATGTTTGGTATTGTACATCAAGCTGATACAGTAGGTGTTATTTTTTTTATTAAAAAATTTATAAATTTAAAAAATCAAATATTAATATTTGTTTTTATTTTCATAATAGATTGTTGGTAACGAATTTATAAGAGGTTTATCAGGTGGTGAAAGAAAACGTTTAACAATTACCGAAGCTATGGTTTCTGCTGCATCAATTACCTGCTACGATTGTTCAACAAGAGGTTTAGATGCTGCCTCTGCTTTAGATTATGCTAAATCAATTCGTATTATGTCGGATACTTTACATAAAACAACTATTGCATCATTTTATCAAGCATCAGATTCAATTTATAATTTGTTCGATGTAAGTAAAATACTTTTAAAATATTAAATTAAAAAAAAATAAAAACTAATGTTAACATTACTTTTATTATTTATTAGAATGTAATGATTTTAGAAAAAGGTAGATGTATTTACTTTGGTCCAATTAATAAAGCTAAACAATACTTTTTAGATTTAGGCTTTGATTGTGAACCTAGAAAATCAACACCAGACTTTTTAACTGGTGTAACCAATCCACAAGAACGTATTATTAGACAAGGCTTCGAAGGTCGTGTTCCAGAAACCTCAGCCGAATTCGAAACTGTATGGAGAAACTCCGAAATCTATAGAGATATGCTCCGTGAACAAGAAGAATATGAAAAGAAGATTGAAATTGAACAACCAAAAATCGATTTCATTCAAGAAGTTAAACAAGAAAAGAGTAGAACTACTTCAAAGAAGAATGTTTATACCACCAGTTATTTCACTCAAGTTAGAGCTCTTACCATTCGTAATTCTCAAATTATTTGGGGTGATAAGTTCTCTTTAGTATCACGTTATCTCTCTGTTATCATTCAATCGTTTGTCTATGGTTCAATCTTTTTCCAACTTGATAAAACAATTGAAGGTTTATTTACTCGTGGTGGTGCAATTTTCTCTGCCATTCTTTTCAATGCTTTCCTTTCAGAAGGTGAGCTCCCAATGACTTTTTATGGCCGTAGAATTTTACAAAAACAAAACTCATATGCAATGTATCGTCCATCCGCTCTACATATTGCTCAAATTGTAACTGATTTACCTTTAACGTTTGTGCAGGTTTTCCTTTTTTCCATCGTAGTATATTGGATGTATGGTCTAAAGGCTGATGCAGGTGCTTTCTTTATATTCTGTTTCACTTTAGTTGGTACCACTCTCGCAATCACAAATATGTTCCGTGTCTTTGGTAACTTTTCTCCAAGTATGTATATCTCTCAAAATGTAATGAATGTAATTTTAATTTTCATGATTACATATTGCGGTTATACAATCCCATACGATAAAATGCACCCATGGTTCCAGTGGTTTTATTGGTGTAATCCGTTCTCATACTCATTCAAAGCTCTTATGGCAAATGAATTCATGGATCAAACATTTTCTTGTACTCAACTTGGTGTACCATTCGACCCAACTCTTCCCGAAGCCGATAGAGCCTGTCCAGTTGCAGGTGCTAGAAAAGGACACTTAGATGTTACTGGTGAAGATTATTTAGACAAAGCTTTACAATTCAAAACTGATGATCGTACTTTAAATATTTTTGTTGTCTATCTTTTCTGGGTACTCTTTATTGCCTTAAATATGTTTGCAATGGAATTTTTCGATTGGACATCTGGTGGTTACACACACAAGGTTTATAAGAAGGGTAAAGCACCAAAGATGAATGATTCCGAAGAAGAAAGAAAACAAAATGAAATTGTTGCTAAAGCTACAGACAATATGAAAAATACCCTCAAGATGAGAGGTGGTATCTTTACATGGCAAAATATTAACTATACTGTTCCAGTTCCAGGTGGTCAAAGACTCCTTTTAGACAATGTAGAAGGATGGATTAAACCAGGTCAAATGACTGCTCTTATGGGTTCTTCAGGTGCTGGCAAAACCACTTTACTCGATGTATTGGCTAAAAGAAAAACAATTGGTGAAGTTAAAGGCAAATGTTTCCTCAATGGCAAACCATTAGAAATTGATTTCGAACGTATTACTGGTTATGTTGAACAAATGGATGTCCACAATCCTGGTCTAACTGTCCGTGAGGCTCTTAGATTCTCTGCTAAACTTCGTCAAGAGCCAGAAGTATCATTAGAAGAAAAATTCGAATATGTTGAACATGTCCTCGAAATGATGGAAATGAAACATTTGGGTGATGCTTTAATTGGTACTTTAGAAACTGGTGTTGGTATTTCAGTTGAAGAAAGAAAACGTTTAACCATTGGTGTCGAATTGGTCGCTAAACCACATATTGTAAGTAACATTATTTTATATTTATTTTTTTTAAATAATAACTTTTATTAATTTTTTTTTTTTTTTTTTTTTTTTTTAAAGCTCTTTTTAGATGAACCAACCTCTGGTTTAGATGCCCAATCATCATATAACATTGTTAAATTTATTCGTAAACTTGCAGATGCTGGTATGCCATTGGTATGTACTATTCATCAACCATCAAGTGTATTGTTTGAACATTTCGATCGTATTTTACTCTTAGCTAAAGGTGGTAAAACTGTTTATTTTGGCGATATTGGCGAAAGATCAAAGACTTTAACAGGTTACTTTGAAAGTCATGGTGTTAGACCATGCACAGAAAGTGAAAATCCAGCAGAATATATCCTTGAAGGTATTGGTGCTGGTGTCCATGGTAAATCAGACGTTAATTGGCCCGAAGTTTGGAACAATTCTGAAGAACGTCAAGAAATTGAAAGAGAATTAGCTGCACTTGAAGCTGCTGGCCCAACTAGTCAAGATGATCATGGTAAACCAAGAGAATTTGCCACATCTGTTTGGTATCAAACTTGGGAGGTTTATAAACGTCTCAATTTAATTTGGTGGAGAGATCCTTTCTATACCTATGGCTCTTTTGTTCAATCTGCTTTGGCTGGTTTAATTATTGGCTTTACTTTTTGGTCATTAAAAGATAGTTCAAGTGATATGAATCAACGTGTGTTCTTTATTTTCGAAGCTCTTATTTTAGGTATTCTCTTAATTTTCGTTGTATTACCCCAATTTATTATGCAAAAAGAATACTTTAAACGTGATTTCGCGTCCAAGTTTTATTCCTGGTTCCCATTTGCCATTAGCATTGTTGTTGTAGAATTACCATTTATCACTGTTTCTGGTACTATTTTCTTCTTTTGTAGTTTCTGGACTGCTGGTTTACAAGAAACAAACGATACCAACTTCTATTTCTGGTTTATATTCATACTGTTCTTATATTTCTGTGTTTCCTTTGGTCAAGCAATTGCTGCTATCTGTTTCAACATGTTTTTAGCCCACACTATTATTCCACTTATGATTGTTTTCCTCTTCCTTTTCTGTGGTGTCATGGTTCCACCGGAAAAAATTCCATATTTCTGGAGATCCTGGGTATACAAAATTAATCCATGTCGTTACTTTATGGAAGGTATTGTAACAGATGTCTTGGTTTATACTAAAGTTGAATGTTCAATGGAAGATCTTACCATTTTCCCCGATTACAAAGGAAATCAAAACTGTTCAGATTATGCTCTTGGCCCAACTGGTTATGGTACATATGTTGGAAATGGTGAATGTGGTTATTGTCAATATAAAAATGGTCCAGAATACTATGAATCTCTAGGTTGGAGCTTTAGTAATCGTTGGAGAAATTTAGGTTTTATCATTGCATACTGGATGTTTAATACCTTTATGGTTATCATTTTCGTTTATTTAACAAGAAAACCAAGAAGATAAACCCCACATTTAAATAATATGAATAATATAATAATATAAAATAATAAAAAAACATTTTCGATAAATCAACCAAATATTAATATAAAAAAATAAATATAAAAAAAAAAAAATTAATAATCTAAAAAACTAAAAAAAGTTTAAATTAACTTTGGCAATATTTTTTATTTCTTAACAATTTTATTATTTCTTTTTAAAACTTTAAAATTTTTATTATTTAAATTCATTTTATAATTACCCACCGAAATCAATAGGTTTAAGATAAAAAATATTAATATGAATATGAATTTAAATATTACTATATTGAAATCAATTTGATTTTTTTCAATTCCTGAATATAAAAAAAATTAAAATCTGTTTTACTTGAATAAATAGGTTTTTTTTTTTTTTTTGAAAAAATAAAAAATAAAAAAGTTCAGTTATTGTTTTAAAAAAATTTTAAAAAATTATTAAATTATTTAAAAAAAAAACAAAAAAAAAAAAAATAATAAAAAAAAAAAAAAGATTTTTTTTGTATATCCAATTTTTCAATACAAATATTTTTTGGCACTGTTTAATAATAATTTTAATAATAACAATATTGTTTCTTACCCATAAAATAAAATCTATCAATAAAAATAAAAATTTAATAAAAACATTATATTATGAAATAAACTATATAAATTTTAGTATTATTTTTTTAAAAATAAAATGTCAAATAATACAAATTCAACACCCAGCAAAAACTTTTTTGATGTTGTTATAGAAAAACTAACACCTAATAAAAATAACTCAACACCAAATAAGAGAGCAACATTTAATGGAACACCACAAGAAAAACCTGTAACAATTCAAACACCAAATGGGAATAGTAATAAAAATAACAATGGTAATTATATTTCAGGTTCAACCTCATCCTCAAACTTATTAAATCAACTAGAAGAAACTATTCAAAATAGTAATCAAACACCAGGAGGATATTCAACAAACTTGGATGACTTTGCCGATGATTTTAATAACTATGATGATCAAGAAAAATATTTAAAAGTGTCACAAACCGATTCAACAATTGTAATAAATAAAGATTTAGTTGGTAGCGATCACTATTTAAACTCAATAGAACCACAGCTATCAATTCTAAACAAACCTATAAAAAAAAAAGAACCCGCACAATTAGTAAAACAGCAATCATTTCATAAAAACAATAATTCATTTTTAGAAACCACACCACAACAATTGACACAACAACAACAACAAATTCAGCAACAATCTCATCCAACTGCACAGTTTCAACAACAGCACCAACATCAAAACCAAAATCAAAATCAAAACCAAAATCAAAACCAAAACCAAAACCAAAATCAAAATCAAAATCAAAACCAAAACCAAAACCAAAATCAAAATCAGCAACAAATACATCCACAACAACACAAACAACAACAACAACAACAACAACACCAACAGCAACAGCAACAAAATATACCATCACAACCAATACAACAAAAACCTGTAAATCAACCACAACAAAAAGAAACTGTAAATAAAACTCAACAACAGCAACAAAATAATCAAAATGAACTACAACAATTTATCGATTTAGAAAACTTTACATTTAATAACTTAGATATCCCAATGTCATGTAAATTATTTTTAGATAGATTAAAAAGTGAAAATGGGGAATTAAAAAAACAACTAAATATAGTTTTAAATGATAATGCAGAACAATGGGAACAAACTATATTTTTACAAAATAATCTTAAAGAATTAGAAAACTATAATCAACAACTCGATAAATGGTCAGATGCATTAAGAAACCAACTTATGAACTCTGCAGAATTATTAGTAAATCACCACAAAAAAATCGATAATCTTTATGAACTCCTAAGTGGAGTTGGTGAACAAAAAGACTCTTTTCAAAACCTATATGAACAATCACAAGAACAATTAGCAAGATCAGATGAAGAAAATTTAAAATTAACTTTTGAATTAAAAGATTATAAAAAACTTTCAAATGATCTAAATTTAACTGTATGTGTTCAAAATTTTCAATTGTTAATTAATAAGATGCTAATTTTTTTTTTTATTTAGATTGTCGATTTAAGAAAACAAATTCATGAACTAAAAGATTATTCAATTGATGCCATCATTTGGAGAATAAAAAATAATATAGAACCAAGCGGCATTGAAAGAAAGAAATCAATTCAAGAAAAAAGTCAACTTTTAGATGAAGCTGTTAGAGCCTACCAATTAGATTATAATGAAATACTACTATTAAGAGTTATAACCTTTTTAAAGAATTCACTATCCTGGAAAGTTTTTATTCAACTATTAAAAAACAACTATGAATCTTTGGACTACTATATAAAATACTGTAAACAAACTAAAAAAATAGACCAACTAAAATTAATATATCGAGAAACTCACAACCATTTAGAAGAGGGACTGTTAATTTTAAAAGAAGCTTTGGAAGAAAAAGATACAAATCTACAACTATATGCCTTGTATTCATGTTGCTCATTCTTTGACCAATATGACCATTTATATTTTTATAAAACCACAATTTTAAAGTATATAGATTCAATTAGAGCCGGTATAAACTTAAATTGGGATAATCTAGACTTTAACAAATAATCTAAACAAATAAAAAACTATAAATTATTTTAAAATTTTTTTTGATTTTTTTTTATTTAATTTTTTTTTTAATTTTTTTTTAGATATGTTTATATGTATTTGATGAGTTTTAAAGTTGTTGTGTGTTTCTGTAATGTTGGAAATTTATGTGTTTTTGTGATGAGGGTTTTTTCTTTTTTTATATATCGTTTATAATTTAAATAGAAAATGATGAGATCGAAACCATTTTAGTTTCTACCACCTCTGAAACCACCTCTACCACCTGATCCACCACGACCACCACCACCAAAACCACCACGACCACCACTTGATCCACCTCTACCACCACCAAAACCACCACGACCACCACTTGATCCACCACGACCACCAAAGCCGCCTCTACCGCCACGAGCACCGCCTCTACCACCAAAGCCGCCTCTACCACCAGCACCAGCACCACCAGCTTTAGCAACTTTTGGTTGTGGTTTTGGTTCTTCAAGGAAAATTTTAATTGGTAAAAGAGAAGTAGTTTCAGCAAAAATTTTATCGCCTTCTTTGAATGATGAAGCTTGAATACCGTTATCTAATTTGACACTGAAATAAACTTTTTGGGTTGGACCAAAAATTTCATCAACGGTACCAATATTTGATTTTGATGATGATAAAACTTTACAATTGAATTTTGGTACTTGTTCGGCAACAGTAAGATTGCAAACAATTTGCTCTTCGCATGGGTGAGCAAAAGATCCAATTTCTAATGATAAATTAAATTTAAAAATAATATTGTTATATGATTATAATTTATTATATGATTATATTGTTTATAATAAAGAAAAATAAAAAAAAGAGATTAATATATATTTATTTATTTGTATGATTATTAAACAAAACTTACCAATAACTTCACCTGGAGTGCTATTATATCTATCACCACCATAACCACCACGGTTACCACCAAAACCACCACGACCACCTCTGTCGCCACCACCAAAGCCGCCACGGCCACCACCACCAAAGCCACCACGACCACCTCTATCACCACCAAAACCACCACGGCCACCTCTGTTATTATTACCACCACGGAATGACATTTTTATTTATATTTGTATATGTGTTATTGTAAATTTGATTTGAAAAAATAAATCTTTTTTTGTTTTTTAAAAAAAAACAATTCCTCTTTCTGTGAAGTACCTATAAAATAGAGAGAAAAAAAAGGAATCTAACAATAACTGTAAAAGAGTTCAACTAAAATGTATTTGTTTAGAGATCTCTTAAAGTTTTGTATAAAGAAAAAATTTAGGGTAAATAATTCTTTATTTTTCGTTTTTTAAAAATAAAAAAAAAAAATAAAAAAAAGTTTTTTTTAAAAAAAAAAAGAAAAACGAAAAAAAAAAAAATTTAAAAAAAAAAAATTAAAAAAAATAATAAAAAAAAAAATTAAAAAAAAAAACTATAGAGAAAGTTGATTAATCATGATTGTGATAATTATTTTATCTATTTGATTTTTATTCATTGATTTTTATTTATTTGTTTTTTTTATTAATTTTATTTGTTTTATTTAAATAATATTATTTAAATAAAACAGCTGAGAATGGTATAAATTAATTATTAATAAAGAAAATTTTTTAAATTTTTATATTATAATAAAATTTTTTTACCCACACTTTTTTTTTTTTTTTTTTTTTTTTTTTTTTTTTTAATTATTTTTTTTAATTATTTTTTTTATAACATTTTTATTAATATCCAAAAAAATTTCTTTTTTTTTTTTTAATATTATATTTTTTAACAATAGAAACAACAAATTAAAATGGTAAAAGTTGAATTATACACTTCATCTGCCACAGGCATGCTTAAAATTAAAAAAGACCAACAAGCTATCAAAAATTTATTAGAAGCCAAAGGTATTCAATATATTGGTAGGTGAACTTACAATTATTTATCTTTTTTTTGTTTTTTATTATTTATTAATTTTATTTTATAATTTTAGAATATGATGTTGCTAGTGACCAAGAAAGAAGAGAAGAAATGAAAAAAATCAGTGGCAAAACTGTTTTACCACAATTAATGATTGATGGTAAATTTGCAGGTGTAAGTATAAAAATATTTTTAAACAGGCAATACTTAAAAAGAGATATTAATTTTGTTAATTTTTTTTTTTTAATAATTTTATAGGAAGTTGAAGATCTCCAATATTTAGAAGAAGATAACAAATTCATTGATTTATTCAAATAAACAAATAGAAATAATATTTAAAGAATAATAAAAAAGAAAATTAAATCTATTTTATCTATTTATAATTGTAAAAATAATAAAATCAAAAATTATATTATCTATTTTAAAATTAAATAAAATTTTTTATCTTTTTAAATAGTTTTTTTATTAAAATTAGTATTTTATTTATTTATTTTAATTTTGTTTTTTATAAAATGGAAACAAATGTTTTATATATAAATTAATTTGTTTAGAAAGTTAATTTTGTTTAAAAATACATATAGCTTTATTTAATTTTTTTTTTTTAAAAGTTAAATAATTAATGAAATTGATTATTAAATTATTACTATTTGAAACAATTTCATTAATTAATTATTTAGTTTATATTGTTTGTATTATATTAATTATATTATTGTTTTTATTATTATTTATTTTTATTAATCTGATAACTCCACAGCATTATCTGAATCAAAGCTATCATCTAAAGTTGAACAAGAATCTGAATGGTGTAAATTATTACCTTTCATTGGTACACCAGAGTAAATTGGAGGGGCATTTGGATCATATGGTTCTTCGTCGTCATCCTTATTAAGGTTTATGGTACTATTGTTATTATTGTTATAAACTGGTGGTGGTAAACGTTGATTATTATTAAATGTTGGAGTTGTTTGGGATGAAGTAAAAGCTGGAGCACTATCGACAATAATTTCAGGTTCGCCACCAAATATTTTTTCAAAATTTTGAATAATAGTTGTAACGACCATATTACCTAAAGCGATATCTTCTAAAACAACATCAGTTTGGCAAATTAAAATATTTGGACCAACGACTGTAGCTAAATTAGCAGGACCCATTTTTGATTTAGGTTGTGTTGAGATTTGGTGTAAGAGATGAATTAAATGATGTAAAAGAGTAAAGTAGTGTTTTGGTAGTGATTGAAGGATTTTGGTAATCTTTTCGACACGTTGATTTGAGTCTTCAATATTGCAGGTATCGATGAGTTCGTTATAACGACTGTAGGTGAGAAGTGGCTCTGGTTGTAATTCTCTAAGGAACATTTTAACAAGATTACAAACGACATGAATATCACTTATTTCATTTAAATTATACTCCTTGCCTTCGTCGATTTTAGCTTTGTATTCGAAAATAATTCTCTTTGTACCAGATAAACGGAAAAGACCTTCTTCAGTTGAAATGTGGTTTCTAATTGCTTGGAAAGCTCTGGTGACAAATCTTGGAATGATAGAACCTTCTCTTTGGAGAATGACAGAAAGATCTTCACCAAAAATTTTGGATTTAGAGATGGCATCTTGTTGTTGCTTTTGTGGTGAAACCATCATTGAAATACGTACTTTAGATTTTTCTAATTCGGCCTTTCTCTTTTCTACATAAAGACGGTATTCATAAATATCTGGAATCATTTGGGCTAGCCATCTATAACCTTTTTGGAAGAATGTATGATAACTATCTAAATAGTCACAAAGTTTTTCGACAGTTTCAAATTCTGTAATAACATTTGTATCTTGTAAAAGGCATGTTGTATCGATACCAACTCTTTCAAAATTTGTTCTTAATCTTTCACATTCATCTTCACATTCTTGAATCTTTTGTGGTTTAACATTCTTTTGTTTCTTTAAAGTTTGTAACTCTGATAATTGTGCATCAAATCCAATTCTAACTCTATCATATTCTTTTTTAGATTCTTTTGCTTGTTTTAATTCGGTTTTTATAATTGATTTTAATGGGTCACTAACATCATTAATTAAAGATGAGTTCTAAATAAAATTAAAAAGTTTTGTTAATATCTATTATTATATTGCTATTATATTGTTATATTTATTTAATATTTACTAATTTAGCTTTTAAATCTTCAAAACCAGCTTGAAATTCACCAATTTTCGATAAAATACCAGATAAAATTACCATATCAGTTTGATTTTCTCTGACATAAACGCTATAATCAATAAAATTATCTGCTAACTCTGTACCATCTTGGATTGATAAACCTGAGCTTAAAGTTTCTTTTTCGACAGATTTTGTTAATTTTCTTAAATAATCCTTTGTATCTGTAACTTGCTATAAAAAAAAAAAAAAAAGAAATGTTAGTAAAAAAAAAAAAAATTAAAGAAAAATTTTATGCAAAAAAAAAAAAAAAAAAAAAAAAAAAAGATTTTTATCCACAGGCGATAACTTTTTTTGTGGATAATCCACAAAACCCCCTTTTATAAACTTTTACTTACTTTTTCTAATTCCTTCATTTGATCTGGTTCGAGTGTATTTTCTTTATTACCAGTTTTTTCCATTAGATTTTGCTTTGTGATTGATATTGATTTCTTGAATTTTCTCATTTTATTGGTTTATATAAATATTTTTTTTTTAAAAAAAAAATAATGATACAAAGGGTATTTTAAATTTTACAACAAATTAAATATACAGTTATTGAATATTATTAAATCTTTATATTGTTACTAAAAGAAGAAAATAATATACAAGAATAAAAATAAAAGTTTTTTTTATTACAATGTCAATTGAAAGACTTTTAGATAAAAAAAATTATTATAAAAAAATAAAAAAAAAAAACACAACTTTTTTTAAAAAAAAAATTAAAAAAAAAAAAATTTTAAATAAAAAAAAAATCAAAAAAATTAAAAAAAAAAAAAAAAAAAATTATTGTGGTGTTTATTTGAAATAAATTGAGAAATTTTAAAATCTATCAAAGAGATAATCTAATCAAAAATGAATTGGTATAACCACGGGATTAAAGCTTTATTATTATAAAATGGTACATTAAAATATTTAATGTAAATTTTTTTTTTTTTTTTTTTTTTTTTTTTTTTTTTTTTTTTGCCCAATTTTTTAATAATGCTGATTGATAGTTTATAAATTTTTTTTTTTTTTGATTTATTTATAATTTTTTTTTTTTTGATTTATTTATAATGGTTGTTAATTTATTTATTAATTTATTTATTAATTTATTTATTAATAAGTTTTTGTTTATTTATTTTTTTATTTATAATTAATTTAGATGAATTTTAGTTTTTGATTATTTGGCACTATTTGATGATTCGTTTATAAACTTAAATAAATTGATTGCTTCACGTATTTTTGAAAATTCTAAACAAAAGGATTGAACTTCAGAAAATAAATCTTTGATATCTATAATATTATTCCTAATTAATGATTGAATGAAAACACAAACTAAACGGACACTACGTTGTTGCATTGCTTTATCTTCCTTGATATTGTTACAAGTATTGATGCAGTTTGTTATATACATGGGAATGAAATGGCTGGGTAGCTCTACAGATGTAGCCAATGCATTTACCACCTCCATTGAACGGAAGTTCATTTCCATCGATATTAATATTTGGAAATAATCTTTGAAATCTGGTGAATGAATTAACTTTAATAATGCATCAATTGCGACATTGGTATTGTTTTCAACTAAATTTGGTAGTTTCTTTGGTGTTAATCCTGAATAGAGTACCAATTTTGGATCAGAGTCCATTTCTTGTTTAATTTGTAAAAGTTGGTTTTTTTTTAATCTACATTTGATCGCCCTTGTCATTAAATCTCTAACAATTTTTTTTGAATTGATTGTTGGGGAAGTGGCCATAGTTGGATTTGATAATAATAAACCATGATTTATTGATGAATTTATCCAAATGGTCTTTTTATAAAAAAAAAAAAAAAAAAAAAAATTAATATCATATGATAAGGAAAAATAAAGTTTATAAACATACAGTAACTGGACTAAAAATTGGTGGAGTAACTCTTTTGAATTGAGGTTCAAATGAAAAGAAACTTAATTGATCACTGTTGACCTCAATGTCTTTAAGATTACCTGTAGTTGCTATATTATTAGTTGTTGATGGTGAGCTCGCTATTACATTGTTATTTAAAGGGGTGTTATTTGATATTATATTATTGTTATTATTATTATTATTATTATTATTATTATTATTATTATTATTATTATTATTATTATTTATATCTGTGGGTATTAAATTTTGTGACACACCAATACTCCTGAAAGACGGATAACAATGGTTTACTAATCTTTCTAAATAGAAATTTTTATATTCTTTTAATGTTGATTTTGTAAATGTATTGGCTGCTATTGATGTTGTAGATGGTGATACTAATGTGCTTTTGGTTATATTTATAATTTCTTTTGGTGTTTTTTTTGAAAACTAAATTAAAAAAAAAAGTTAGTTGATTTAATTATAAAAATTTTAAGTTAATTTAATTAAAAATTTATATTTACATCTTTTGGTAAATTTGTTAAAAATGATGCTAATATACTCTTTTCTATTGGATTAAAGCATGGTGATAATTCATCGAATTGCTTTTCAATTTCGTCAATAAAAACTGGTAAAAATGGATTGAATATGATTGGATAATCTAAAATTGAATTTTCATCTTGGTTTGGAGATGGAGTGGAATTTGCTTGATTTGAAGATGATGTGCTTGATGTTGATGCTGTTGTTGGGGTTGTTGATGTTGATGATATTTGACCTGAAGATGATTTATCGATTTCTGTTGTAGATAAAATTGAAGATGATGATAACGAACCTGATGATAGAATTGAGTTTTCAGGTTTATATAAACTAAATAATATGTAAAATCCAATAATTCTGTGTGTTTGAATTTTTATAAAACCATCTTTGACCATTGTGTATATTGCACAACCAACTTTAAAATGATCATTTTTGCTAAACGTTCTATAAAATGTTGTTGCTATAGTTTCGAGAGGTTTTTCATCCTCTGACAATAAACTCAAAAGAGTAGTTAAATCTTTTGAATTTATCATTATATTGAATTTAATAAAAAACTATTTATTATATTTTTCTTCCAATTAATATTTGTATATGTATATTGATACTCTTATTATTTGAATGTGTGAATATGTGTGTATGTTTATTTTAATGTATATAGATAAATAAATAGATATTATAATACAATTATAAAATAAATAAATAAATAAATGATTTTAAATTTATGTTGATTAAAATATAAAATTTTGTGTGTGATAAAAAAACAATAATAAATAGTTTATTAATTTAAGTGAATAATTTTTGAAATAAAAAAAATTATTTTGAACAAAAGACGACACTTTTTGGTATCAACTATATAAATAAATAGAAATGAAAAAAAAATAAAAAAAAATTTTAAAAAAAATTGAAAAAAAAAAATTAAAAAAAAATTAAAAAAAAATTAAAAAAAAAAAATTTGGGGAAGATATATTCCTTTTTAAACATGATTATTATATATTTTTAAAAAAATTCTTTTTGATCAATTTACTTTTGTTTATTTTATTTTTTTTTTGAAATTAATTATTTTTAACTTTTTGTGGATTAATATAATTTTTATAAATTGCAAAATAGAAAACTGATGAAACAGTGAAAATGGTAGTTCCAATAATCCATGGATATTTAACTTCTGGTGGAGTTGGAATTTGCCAAAACATAGCACCACCATATTTAATACAAATTAAAACTTCAATAAATACATTTGCAATACAAATCCATGCCATTGTACCTAATTTTTTGGTTTTTCTATATTTGGAAAAAAAAAAAATTAGTATTAGTTTTATAATAGCTATATAATAAAATGTAATAATATGATGATATTTACGTATCGGTTGCAAATTGATAATATTCACGAAGACCTGGGGTACCAATTAAACACCATAATAATAATCTATAAATATTTAATGGATTTGGTGGTGGAATCCATAAAAGAGTTTTGAGGAAGAAGGCGTTAAGTTCGACAATTGAAATTAAAACGATTAATAAAATTACAACCAAGAATCTCTTCCATGATGATAAAATTCCCCAATTATAGGTATCTAAAGTTTGTGGAGTAAATTGTTTAAGTAAAGTCATTGGATTATACCATGATGGTTTCTTTTTATCCTCAACTTTAGTTTGTTGAGAATCGACACCTGCCCAATTGTATTCTTTCATGTGTAAATATCTAATTGTTAATAAACCCATAACAATACCTAATGCATTACAAACTAAAATATCTAAAATAATCTATATAAATATAAAACGCGCGTTAATATAACTTTAAAATAAACTGCGTGTGTGTAAAAGTTTACTTACATGATCCCACCAACATTCATGGAAATTTGGGAGTAAATGTGCAAAAGTTAATTCTAAAATTTCGAATGAAATACTTAAAACCCAACATAATCTATAATCTCTTAAAAGTAAAGTTTTGCCCCACCAACCAAAGAAATGAGCCCAAATAAATTCGTCGTTAACTGTATCTTTGAAGTTTTTAAAGTATGATTCTGGATTGTCTGGAGTATAAAGATCACAATTTTCGGCGTATGATCTTTCTGGCAATGGTACACCAAGCTTTGGATCCAAATGCTTCATAATTAAACGAGCATCATCTGCTGATTGGAATAAAAGAAAAACTAATGCACATAAATATAAAACACCAAGGCCCATAACAACTCTCCAAAATGCTGGATGTGGTCTAATAAATAAACCATCTCTCATCTGTAACATTGAAAATAATAAAAATGCTGAACATGCTGCTAATATACCACTATAAATTTAATTGAAATTAGTAAATGGAGATAATAATAAATGGTGATAATAATAACCTTGTGATACTTTACGTTTTAACGCTATTTGCTTGTGATTGTTCTTTTGTAAATGCAAAATAAATTGTAACAGCCCTGCATTACTAAGGCTAAAATTGTATGTGGTTTATAAAAAAAATTTAATGTATCTTGTTCTTCTTTTTTATTAACAGAGTTTGCCACCGCAGTGGATGCTCTATTATTATTGCTATTTGCCATTATATTTTCGTATTATTTTACTCTATATTATTGTTATTATTACTTTTTATTTATTATATAATTATCTTGATTTCTCGTATTCGTTTTTTTAAAATAAATATCAAAAATGATAAAAATTTTAAAAAAAATTTTTAAAACCTTAAAAAAATAAATAAATAAATTTAAAAAAAAAAAAAAAAAACCAATTTGGTTTGTATATTAGTTTTTTATTTCTAATATATAGTTATTAAAAAAAAAAAAATTAAAATAAAATTAAATAACCTGAAAAAAAATGGTTAAAAAAATAAAAAAAAAAAAAAAAAACGAAATTTTTAATAAATAAATAAAATTTTATATAAAAAAAAAAAAAAAAAAATCTTTTTGGTTCTGTAAATTTGGTATTTTTGGGATTCGATGATGATATAAAATTACAAACTTAAACAAAATAAAAATAAAAAAAAAAAAATAAACGAATAAAATTTATAAATATATTTTATATTTTTAAATTCTGTAAATTATTATCTTTGAATTTGAAAAAATAATTATTATGCAAATAAAAATAAAATTTTATAGTTTTTGGTTTTTATGTAATTTATATGTGTGTGTTTTTTGGCGATTATAAAAATATAAAATATAAAAATAGTTTTATAGAATAATAATTACCTGTGTTTTAAATATTTATAAAATGTTTTTGTTTTTAATTCCACATGATTAGTCAAAAAATAATTAAAATTATTAGACTATATAAAAAAGAATAAAAAAGACATCTTTTTGTATGTATCTTTAAAATATAAAAATAAATAAATAGTAAAAATATGAAAAATTTAAATTTAAATTAAAAAATAAAAAATAAATGAGTTGGTGGGCAATAGAAAAAAAAAGGTAATATTCTAATGAAAAAAAAAAAAAAATAATTATTTCAATTTATTTTTTTATTGTTATTATAATTAATATAATTGGAGGATCAAATATGGACTTGAAATAAACAAATTGAATAACAAATTCTTTTGATTTTTTTTTTTTTTTTTTTTTTTTTTTATTAAAATTATAAATAATAATAATAATTTTTTTTTTAATTTTTTTTTTTATTTTTTTTTAATTTTTTTTTTAAAATTTTTTTTTTTTAATTTTTCGATTTTTTGTTATTGGGTTTTATTTGTGTCAAGAGTTGTGTTTTGGTTGTTTCTTTCGCATTATATTCTGTAATTCTGTCGTTTGTTTCTTGTTTCTTGTTTCTTATATATCTAAAAAATAATACCCGATTTTATAATCGAATAATTCATTTTAATAACCAAGAATAAATAGAAAATAAAGAAAAATTACCATCAATTTTTAATTTTTAATTATTTTTTTAAATTAAATTAAATTAAATTAAAATTTTTTTTTTTTTTTCACTTTTTAAAAAAAAGAATTTTATTACATCACACTCACACATCACACTCTATACAAGTAATATTAATTATATTAATAATATTAAAAACAAAGAAAAACATATATATTAAATTAAATTAAAATTTATAAATTTAAATTTTTTTTTTTTTTTTTTTTTAATTTTGTAAAAATTTTTAATAATTTTTTTTTTTTCCATTAAATCAAACCCAAATCAAACATCATCAATCTCAAACACACAATAAATTAAGGTGAATAATCTAAATTTTACTAAAAATAAATACAACAAATAATTTTTTTTTATCCCCCTAGCCTAAAAAAAACCAACTTGTCGAATTAAATAAAAAATTAAAAAAAAAAATTAAAAAAAAAAAATTAACCAATTTTTTTAATTTTTTTCTTTAATATTTTTTAATATTTAATATATAATTATTATAATAAAAATAATAATAACAATAATAATAATTTAATTCAAAAAAAACCAATCAAATCAAAAAGTTTTATCTTTATTATATTGTATTTTTTTTTTATTATTCTCTTTATATATATTTTAAATAGTAACTAGTAATTGTTTACAAAGTGTCTAAAAATTAGTTGTATTTTTCCATTTTTTGTTCACCAATAATTTTTATAGTAATAAAGTAATTTCAAAGATATGGACGATTCATTCGACGCATTTGAAATCAAACCAACAAGTAGTATTATAGAACACTTTAATAACCATCCAACATGTATTGATAAGGAGTTTAATGTAAGTTTAGTTTATTAATAAAATTTAGGAAATATTCATACTAACAATTTTTTTTTTAATTAGTTTATTTTACAAAAAACAGAGTTAAGATCAATTGAACAAAATTCAGATAAATTTAAATCTGCTTTGGCACCAAAAAACAGGATAAAGAATAGATACTCAAATGTCTTACCATGTATGTATTAGTATAGTATAAACGATTATATTTTTTAAAATTACAATTATTAATTTTTTTTTATTTCACCATTAATAATAAAAAAATAGTTGAAGATACAAGAGTCGTAATTAGTGCAGATGATGATTATGACGATCAGAGTGATGATTATGAGGATACTAATGGTAATGGCATAAATAATAGCACTGATAGTATTGATAATATAAATAGTAATAGTAATAATAGCAATAGTAATTTAAATACTAATAAGGATGATGATGAAAAAAGAAATAGTATTGGAAGTATTGGACAAAGTGATGTTTTAAGTAATAGCAGTGATGAGGATCATGATAGTGATGATGAGGATTCAACTAAAGGTGATTATATTAATGCAAGCTTTGTTTGTGTAAGTAATACTGTAAAAAGAAATTAAAGACAATTATATTAATATTTAAAATTTTTTTTTTTTTTTTTTTTTTTTTTTTTTTTTTTTTTTTTTTTTTCAAAAGAATAAAAATTATATTTGCACACAGGGACCATTATTAAATACAATATATGATTTTTGGAAAATGACATGGGAGCAAGAGAGTAATGTTATTGTAATGTTGACAAAAGAAGAGGAAAACCAAAAACAAAAATGTGATAAATATTGGCCAGATAGTGGTGAAGAAAGATATGGCTCATTTATAGTTAGAATTGAAAATGATCTTGTAATTCCAGATGTTTTAATAAGAAGACAATTTACACTTGAAAATATTAAAGTAAGTATTTTTTATAGTTTTTTCTTATAAAGATTTACTAATATTTTATTTATTTTATAAATTTAGTTAAATAAATCAAGAACAATATATCATTTTCAATATACATCATGGCCTGATCACGGCACACCACAATCAACAACAAATTTTTTAAAATTTATTGGTTTTGTTGACAATGTTAAAAGAACTGGTCCATTTATTGTACATTGCAGGTAAGCAGGCCTCTGTAACAGTAATTTGTTTGTACAATTTTAAAATGTTAACATTTTTTTTATTAAAAACTATAGTGCAGGTATTGGCAGATCAGGAACTTTTTGTGTAATTCATTCAGTGGCTACAAATTTTTTTAAGCATTATGAGGAAAAGAAACAAGCACCATCAATAAATTTACCAAAATTAATCGTAGAAATGAGAAATGAAAGACCTGGAATGGTTCAAACACGGGACCAATATAGATTTTGTTATTTAGCAATTTCAGAAACAATGCTTTCTGGTATTAGAAAAGATAGAAAGCGTAAAGGTTTATCATATTCTTATAGTGGCATTCCAGTTACTGAAAATATAAATAATCCATTTACATAATAAATTAATTATAAAAAAAAGTAATTTTATTTAATTTTTATTTAATTTCTTTTTTTATATTTTTTATTACACAGTCCATTTATAATTTTTTAAAATTTCTTTTTATAGTTATCTTTGTAATAGAAGTTTTAAAAATTTATTTTATTAAAATTTCCATAGATTTTTTTTTTTTTTTTTAATGTATAAAATAAGGGTTTTTATTAATTAAAATATAATTAAGAAAAAAAAAATTCAACAGTTGGTTTTAAAACAGTGGGGTTGTATTTAATAAATTATATGTGAAAAAATTAAAAAAAAAAAAAAAAGAAGTGACACATTTCTTTATTTTATTTAAAAAAAAAAGAAAATAAATTGACCAACAAAGCATAATAGAAAGAGTATTCAAGAATTCTTTTCAATTATATTAGATAATAAAAAAAATAATAATAATAGTGATAATATATCAATGAAATTACAGGTTCAATTATAAATCACCTATTGAACTAATCCCAGTATTCATTAATGTTATTGATAATGGTAGAGTACAGGATAGCGATTTATTAGAAGTTTTTAGTAAACTTACAAAATGGCCCCTTACTTTTACAAACTCAAAATGGATTTTAGAACCATTCATCTCTTTAATAAAATCAAAGAAAACCCAAGTGAATTTGAAATGAAGAAATTATTAGAAGAAAACGCATGGCCAGACTTAGATTCTTTAGTATTTGAGAATATTAAATAAAAGAGTTTTATCCGATTGGGTTGGTCTTATTAATCTTGGAAGCACCTGTTATATGAACTCATTTCTTCAAGCACTCTATGGCAATACCGTTCAGAAATTTATTATTGCAAAAAATTGATCAAGATTTAATAAATTCAATTAAAAGTCAATTTATTACCAACACACCACAGGGGATAATAAAGAAAATGAAAAGCTTATGGAACAAAAGTACCGCAAAGAGATTTTCAAAAGAGCGCCACTATTAAAACAAATACAAATTGTATTTGCAAATCTTCGGCTATCTTATTTTATTTTGGTTTAAAAAAAAAAATAAATAGGTCTTTTTTATTTAAAAAAAAATAATTTTATAGTACATAATTAAGTTATTTATTATTATTAATAATTTATTTATTTATTTTAATTTAAATTTGAAATTGAATTTAAACTACTTGAACTTGTATTTGTTGTAGTTGTTAAATTTTTGATTTCTTTTCCTAAATTTTGTTGTTGCAAATCATATTTTTTGTTGAGTTTTTCGATTTTTTTCTCTAAAATTTTATGTTTTTTACAATTTTTTATAAAATTGTTAACGTCAATTTCAGATTGTTCGAGGGTCGAAAAGAAATTTAAAATTTTTTCAAATGGATCTTTTGAGAGGATATCTTGATGACTACGTAATACATGAATTGAAAGACTGTGTACAATATAGTAACCATTTAATAAAACCAAATCCCAAAATCTAACCAAAAGAGGGAAAGGAATATTACCAGAAAAGATGGTAAGGAACCATTTGGTGGCATACATTGAGGTTGTAATACCCTCAACACTGAAATGGGACTGAATTTTTGGGAGTTCGTCGTGCATTAAAATTTCGTGAATGGCATAGTTTCTGTAGAGCAATGGGAATGATGGTAAAAATAAACCACGGAATTGATAACGTGGGTTTTCCATTAATGAAACCAAGCTCCAAAAGGCTTCTTCTTCGGTCATATACATTAATAAAAGTGAGGCGATACTTGACATGCCTTGGCAATAACCAACATCTTGATCATAAATACTATAGGCCTTTAAAACATTAAATAGTTGTTGTTGTCCTTGATTGAAACGTTCTCTAAAAATAATATGGTTCCTGTAGGTTCTATCTATATCCAAGTCGATTTGTTTGACAAAATCAGAGTCCCTCTCTAAAAGTTGTTCATAGTTTACTTTTGATTCTAATTTGGTCTTTGTTGGATCTAAAATTAATTTCCATAAAACACCTCTAGTTGATTCGGGTACACCTTTCCAACCTAAATTTTGAACTTTACTCTTTTTACCATTTGAGGACCAAGAACGAAGTAATTTAACCCATCTCTTTTCGAGTCTTTTATCTTTACTAAGATTTACTTTCATTAGGTTCATATAGTAGTCTTTAATTTCATTCCATCTTTTCATTTGTGTAGAGTTTGATGAGACATCTGGTAAGAAACCGTAGAGATCAGCTTGAGCATACTCCTCATCGTCGATTGTATTGTTTTCACCTTTCCATTGACCCGCTTTTCTTGGTGAAACTGGACGTTCACCTTTTTGACCATATTTATAACGGAGTGTAACATCTGCACCTGCTGAAACTAACATTGAGCTAATAGTACTATTGGCAATATCTAGCGAAAAATGTAATGGTGTACGGTTTTGATAATCTTTAACTGTTGCATTAGCACCTAAACGTAATAGTGATGTAACATTCTTTGGGTGGCCTGATTTTGCTGCATAAAATATTGGTGTTTGACCTGTATTATCTGGTGCATTAACCTTGCTACCTTTTGCAATTAATTGTTTTGCAATCTTTCTACCAGTAATACACGATACTGCATAATGCAATGGTAATGCTCCAAAAATATCTTGAATATCTGGATTTGCACCTTTTTCTAATAAAACATTTACTGATTTGACTTTACCCATTAATGTCGCAAAATGTAATGGTGTTTTTTTTTCCTAATATTAAATTTATATTAATATATTGTTTTTTTTTTAAAAAAAATATATATGGAGAATAAAATACATACTCTATCTTTTGTATCTAATAATGAGCCACCTTGACACAAAGTTAAAATTATTTGTGAAGAAATTTCGTCAGATTCTGGCGATTCAGCAGCATAGTGAAGAGCAGTTTTACCTTTTTTGTCACGAGCTTCAGCCTTAACTCTTCTTGGACCTTTTTCCATCATAATGGATGCACATCGAATATGACCCCTATAAGAACAAATATGAAGTGGTGTGCAGCCATTTAAATCCCTTTTAATATGAGCACCTGCATTTAAAAAAAATTCTAAAATATCTGAAGTATTATATATCGCACATTTATGCATTGCGGTTTGACGTTCTTGATCACGATGATTAACCTTTGAGCCCCTATCTATTAAAAACTGTGCTACGGCTAAAGTATTTGAAAACATTAATGGTGTTCTACCTTGATCATCTCTATCGTTAATTGATGGTTTGCCATTGTTTGATACAGAACTTGTATTATGTGGATCTGTATCATCTTCATCATCGTCATCATCTTCCTCGCCATTATTATTATTGGTATTACTAGAGATTGATGTATTTACTAAACTCTCTTCCCCAAAAAATTGTTTTAATGTTTCTAAATCATTTTTATATACCGCTTCATGAATTGGAAATTTACCCATTACATTTGGATATGGCTCTAATTTAACTATATCATTATTACTATTATTATTATTGCTGCTTGAGTTACTTGAGTTGCTATTACTATGACTAATGGTTGGTTTTGAATTTACTGTTACACTATTTTCAATTGTAATTTTATTTGATTCCTCTTCATTATTTAAAGTTGTAGTTGTGGTGGTCATTTTATTATTACATTCATTAGATTCCTCTATTTTTTCACTATTAATGTTTTTTATTTCTTGTTCTTGCATTTTATTTGTTCATATATTATACAATGAAAATAATTTATAATTATTTTGCCCTTTAATTTTAAAACTATTCCTATATCTTTTTTCTATTATTCTTTTTAAATATTTTATAATTATTATTTAAAGTTGTTATTTTAAAATAATTGTTTTAATTAAAAAAATTTTAAAATTTTATTATTATATTATTTATGTTTAATACTATTATTATTATTATTATTATTTACTATTAATACAATTGGATAATTAAAATTTAAAATTATTATTCTTTTTTTAAAATTTTTTTAAAAAAAAAACCACAAATACTAAAATTTTTATTATTATTTTGTTATTAATTTATTTTTATTATTATTTATTGCTGTTATTTAATTATTATACTTTTAAAAAAAAATAATTAAAAAAAATTTTTTTTTTAATTAATAATAGTTATTTGATACTAATTAGTATAGCCTAATATATTTAAATAAAAAAAGGAGGATGTTAGTATTATTTTATTTTTAAATTATAACAGAAAAACCCAAAAAAAAAAAAATAAAAAAAAAAATAATAAAAAATAAAAAAAACAAACACAACACAACACACTCTCACAATCTCAAACATATTATATAAATATAGTGAAAATTAAATTTATATATATAAAACAACTGTCATTCAAAATGGGTATGTTATTGAATAGACCACTAATTTTTTTATTTTTTTTTTGTCAGTATAGTTTTTTATTATTTATTTAGTATTATTAAATTTATATTGTTTAGTTGAATAATAATAAAAACTTTAATGATTATTTTTGTAATTGATTGCTAT